ATCCTCTTTGGTCATTGTCCAACTCTCTGATCCCTAGACCATCCAGAACTAATCTTTATAGAAGCAGACTGCTATAGCTATTTCCTAGGGAGTGGCTGGTGCATTGGGACTCCTTAACCACTGCCCTACTAGAGTATCAGCTTATGTGCCAAGATGTGTGAAGTCTGGACATGGATTGGATGGGCAATAAGGTAGGAGAGAGAGAGCAAGACAAGTGAACAAGTCACCTTCTAATTCCCTGATGCTGCACACGTTGTTTGACACTTCTTTCGTTTCCTGTGGTCTTAATAATTTGTAAATCAAGGCTGTCAATCATAATGAGACTATATACAGTGAAAGTCTGAGTCCCAGAGATGATGAAGAGAGGCAAAGCAGATGTGACTGGGTAAACGCCTAAGTAGTAGTAAAATAAAACCAGAGATTATAATTCTTTAATGACATATCAATAAGGAGCCCAGGTGACATAGTGTTTGAGTTGCTTATCAGAAAGGTCCATCGGCCTATTGGAACCCATCAGCTCAGTGCACTAGAGAAAATGTCTGGCAATCTGCTCCTTATAAAGAGTATTCTGGACCACATACGGGAGCGATTGTGTGTGTCAGAATCAACTCACTGGTACACCACTATACAACACATTGCTTAATCTATCATTATATTCACTGTTGGTCCCATGGTGAGGACCTTTGTTTCTTGATGTTCAGATGTAATTCATATCAAAGGCTGGAGTTCTTGATCTTCGGCAGCAAGTATTTCACTTCCTCTTCACTTTTAGCAAGCAAGGTTGTGTCAACTGCATCAAGGTTTTTGATGAGCCTTCCTTTGATCCTGATACCACATTTCTCTTCATAGAGTCCAGAATAAGGAATTATTTGTTCAGCATATAAATTGAATGGAGAAAGGTATGGAGAAAGGATACATCCCTGACACACATCCTTCCTAATTTTAAACCATGCAGTGTTCCCTTGTGTTCGGATAACAGCTTCTTGATCTAGATACAGATTTTGCATCTGGGATGCCCATTCTTCTTAATGTCAGTCATGATTTTTTGTGATCCACATAGTCAAGTGCCTTTGCATAGTCAATAAAACACAATCTTCTGGTATTTTCTACTCTTATCCAAGATCTATCTAAAATCCGCAATGATATCCCTGATGCCATGGCCTTTTCTAAACTGTGCTTGAACTTCTGACAGTTCCCTATTTTTTAAAAAACAAAAAAAAGGTGACTTTACCCATAGACCACATCTGATGGACTGCACAGCAATCAAATTGACTACATCTGTGGAAAGAATTGTTGTAGAAGCACAGTATCAGCAGTCAAAAGCAGATCAGGTGCTGACCATCAATTATTCATGTACCAGTTCAAATTGAAGCTGAGGAAAATTAAATCCAGTCCACAGAAACCAAAATAAAATCTTGAGTTTATCCTAGTTGGAATTTAAGAATCATATCAAGAACAGGTTTGAGGCATTGAACACCAATGTTCAATGACCAGAGGAACTGTGGGAGGACATCAAGAATATCATCTATTAAGAGGGCAAAGACTAAGGAAAAGAAAAATCCAAAATGGGTGTCAGAAGAGACTATGAAAATTGCATTCAAGAAGTCAAAACAAAAGGAAGAGATGCCAAAGTAAAAGAACTGAACAGATTTCAATGGGTAGCTCAAGACAGGCAGGGAGGGGGGAACCCCACATTATAATGAAATGTGTAGAAAGCTGGAGTTGAGGAAGAACTTTATCAGCATTTCTCACATTGAAAAAAGTGAAAAACAAATTCAAGCCTTGAGTTGCAACACGGAGAGATGCTATGGGTAAAATCTTTAAAGATTCAGGAAGCATAAAAAGAAGATGGAAGAAATAAATACACAGAGTCATTGCACCAAAAAAATAATTCATTGATATTGAAAAATTTTAGGAAGTAGCATATGAACTAATTGTTGTTATGTGCCATTGAGTCACCTGCGACTCAGAGACCCTATCTATATATATAACAACTTTGAAGCCTGGTCTGTCCTGAGCGACTCTCACTGATTCCAACATATCTATTCTCATTGTCCCAGTTACTGTATATGAACCTATCTCATCCAGGGTCTTCCTTTTCTGCGCTGTCCTTCCACCCTTCCAAGCATGTTGTCCTTCTCCAAGGACCAATCTCTTGTGGCTACACGCCCACAGTATGTGAGACAGAGCTTCAAAATCCTAGCCTCCAAGGAGAAACTTGGTTTCACTCTCTCCAAGACAGACCTGTTTGTTTTCTTAGTGGTCCAGGGTATGTTTAAGACTCTTCTCCAGCACCACAACTCAAAGACATCAATTCTTCTGTCATCCTTAGTCATTGTCCAGCTCTCTAAGGTGCAACAAGTAATTGTGAAGACTGTGCCTGGATCAGGTGCACCTTAGTCTCTAGACTTATATCATTGCTTCTCTGGAGAGGTCCCTGATGCAAATCGCCTCTTGATTTCTTTACTGCTGGTGTTAAGAGTGTTAATTGTGGAGTTGAGCAAGCTGTAATTGTTAACAACATCAATCTCTTCTCTATCCATCATGGTGTTGCCAAGTGGCCCAGTGGTGGCTAGAGCCAGTGGTAACGAAGGATGAAGTTTAAGCTGCACTGAAGGTATTGGCAAAAAACTCAGGCCCCATGGAATAGCAACTTACACGTTTCAGGTAACAGATGCAGCCTTGGATGTGCTCACCTGGCTGTTGTTGTTGTTATGTGTTGTGTGTGTCAAGTCACTTGCGACTCATAGCAACCCTATGTACAACAGCCCTAATCCCTGCTCTGTCCTGTGCCAATCTCACTGCCTCTGACAGACCAGATTACCCCAGTCACTGAATCAATCCACCTCATAGAGGGTCTTCCCCTTCTGCGCCATCCCTCCACCCTCCCAAGCATGTCCCTCTCCAAGGACCTCTCCCTCCTTAAAACATGTCCAAAATATGTCAGACGAAGCCTCAGAATCCTTGCCTCCAAGGAGCAGCCTGGTTTAACCCTCTCCAGGTTACATCTGTTTATTTTCTTGGCAGTCCAGGGTACATTCAATACTCTTCTCCAGCACCACAGCTCAAAGGCATCAATTCTCCTTCTATCCACCTTAGTCATTGTCCAACTCTCTGATGCATAACAAGTTATTGCAAAGACCTTGGCCTTTATCAGACGCACCGTAGCCTCCAGAGTGACACCATTGCTCTTCAGTACCCTGGAGAGGTCCCTAACAGCAGGCTTTCCCATCACAATACATTTTTTTTTTATTTCCTGGCTACTGGTGCCAAGAGTGTTGACTGTGGAGCCAAGCCGACTAAAGTTGTTAACAATCTCAATCTCTTCATCATTCATCCTGATGCTGCCAATTGGTCCAGTGGTGAGAATCTTTGTCTTCTTGACATTGAGCTTTAATCCATACTGCAGGCTGCAGTCCTTGACCCTCTGCATCAAGCATTTCAGGTCCTCCTCAGTTTCAGCAAGCAAGGTGTGTCATCTGCATAATGCAGATTGTTGATAGATCTTCCACCAATCCTGACGCCACACTTCTCCTCTTAGAGCCCAGCCTCTGAAATTTGGAGGACAGCTACCTGGTGCATTGACTGAAAGAGATCCGTATTTGTTTTCATTCCCAAGAAGATGACCTACTAGAATATGGAAATTATAGAATTTATGATTAATGGCACATGCAAGCGAAATGTTGCTGAGGATTGTCCAAAAAGGAATGGAACAGCGACCCAGAGGAAGGCAGAAACCATCAGGAGACTTAAAGCCTGGGAACCAGTGGGGCCAGTGTCTGAGACGCTGACAGGGAGGGGCTCCGACATGAAACGCAGCCTGGCTTAGCTGGAGCCTGCAGGGGTCAGGGAACCTGCACCTGGCTTCCAGGGCCACTGTAATTACAGTCTCCAGTAGGTTGCGAGGAGGCGCTGTCTCGGGGCGGGGCGGGTGGCTTCCCTGAGTATTGTATTTGCCCATAAATACTTCAAATAGTGAAGTGTGCAGCCTTTGAAAGTTGGAGAGGAAACTATTGGGAGGACCCCCTGGAAGAGCGGGCAGAAAAGAAGCGAAATCGTTGGCGCGTCCTTTACGCGGGAGACAGAGAGGCCCCACCCCGGCCAGATGGGGGGCAGCGCGGCGGCGGGCGTGACTCAGGAAGCTTCAAACCGTTAAGATGGCCTGAACAATTTGAAAAGGCAAAGGCACTTCCCCGGAGCCGACCCGCGGGGCCTCGAGACAGGCGTCTTCCTTCAAAAGGGCATTTTTTAAAGGAGGCTCCTGGCACGCAGTGGGTGTGCAGGCCCCGCAGGAAGCGCACGGCCGGAGCGGTGCCGCAGAGTGGCCACCAGCCCGCTTTGTACTTGCGGCCAAGTGCGACCCCAGAGTTTCGGCGGCCCGGGAGTTGAGGCCACGCCCCCTTTGCAGGGAGAACCACGGCCGCTGATTGGCTCGTGGTGGACCAATGGACGCGCCAGGGCGGCCGGGGCTGTCAGCGCGCGCCGCGGCCGCGCGGACCGCAGCCTGTCCTCCCCTGTGCTGAGCCCCGCAGCCGACGCTGCCTTCTCGGGAAGCGCGGCTGCCACTCGCGAGCGCACCCTGCCCAGCCTGCCAGCCGCTGTCCCACTGCCCGCATTCCACGGCCACAGTCTCGCTGCGCTATCGCGCACGGAGCATGTGCAAACCCGCAGGTGCTAAGGTACTATCTGTCCGGGGGGCTTCTGGGCAGTGGTGACTGTCACTCCAAGAGAGACCTTTGGGGGCTCTCGTTGCGCCTCAGCGTCTCGGGTGACACTGCGGTGATCGCGAGCAGGGCGTCAACTACCTTTTGGTAGAGACGTCTTGGGCTTGGTGCGACCGCCCTCGCTCTCCAGACTCCGCAGCTCACTCCTTCCCTCCCTTCTCGTCTCGTTCCTTCCTTCGCCGGCTCACCCGCAGCCTTTTGGAGCGGGAAGCGTGCGTCTGTGCCGCTTTCCCCCCTCCAAAGGAACCTCTTCACTTCTGAGATGCAGTGACAAGATAATATGGACATACAAGCCTTGGTTTCCCAGGAGGAAAATTGTAAGAGACAGCAGCTCCAGTGCACCTCTTGAGCGGCCTGCCAAGGAGGGGCGTGAGACTCGGCTACTGCATCAGTCCAGGTGGGGTCTCCTGAGCGCAACCACCCTCCCCCAGGCTCTCATCTCTGCACCTCGAAGGGACCCTCGCCCACTTCCTTGGAGCTCCCGGACCCGGGACCTTTTATTCCGCCAGTGACAGTGGGCGCCTCGCGGGCTGAGGCCCGGCGCCTGCTCTACTGCCCGCGCTGCCTTTAGCGGTCGCCTCCGCTGCCGCTGCCAGGGACGTGCTGGGAAAACCGAAGCCCCGGGAGAAGATGCCGGCCATCCTGGTCGCCTCCAAAATGAAGTCGGGACTGCCCAAACCGGTGCACAGCGCCGCACCCATCCTGCACGTGCCCCCGGCCCGGGCCGGCCCCCAGCCCTGCTACCTCAAATTGGGAAGCAAGGTGGAGGTGAGCAAGACCTCCTACCCTAGCCAGATTCCCCTAAAATCGCAGGGGTTGCAGGAGCCGGCGGGGGAGGGGCTCCCACTGCGGAAGAGTGGCTCTTTCGAAAACGGGTTCGATACCCAGGTGAGAGGCAACGCATGCCGGGTCTTATATCTGGGAGGGAGGGTTAATGCTTGCGGAGGACTGGGTGCTGGATGGGGGAAAGGGCTACCCTGTGGGTGGAGAGAAAAATCGTCTTCCTCAGCCCGCCAGATCCGTAGATGGTCGAGGAGAGTCGGCCAGAGAGAAGGTGGGTGTGGCCCTGCGGCTCATGGTTGGTGTTAGGAGCTCCGAGCTCCAAGACACCTTGTGAGACTCCACGCAGTGTGGCTACGTCTGTGACTGCCTGGCAGACGTTCTGGTTGTGGTGGTGTTTTTAAGAAACATGTACCCTGCTGAAAATGTCAGCTCCTGCATGTTTGCAGGCTTGGCTCTAAGAAGGATGGGGGCGGGGGGGGTTCTGTCCCTGCCAATGAATGGGTCTGATTCTGTCACTTACTCTTTACACATACCCCATCATCCCCCAAATTTGACCCCCTGGGTGCTAGATTGAAGAAGAAGGGTATCGGTGAACCTGCCCCACTTGGTTTGGCCACCCCAAAGGCTAGCAGGAATCTGGGCATAGTACTGGGGCTGCAGTACAAGCTCCCTGTCCAGCAGCTGAGACTAGCAGCAAGAGACTCCTTGAGTCTTGGTTGGTTGTGGAGAGGGGGTGGGGGTGGCCGCCATTCTGAGGCAGCTAAGCCCCTCCTTCCGCAGTGGCTGCAGACACCGGTGAGAGGATGATTTGGAAGAAGGCGATGACTTCTACCTTACCAGATAGAGCCTACATCGCTCTATCCAGCTGCCTGACAGACTCTGGCCAGGCAATCTCTTTTAAGGAAATCAGCAAGGGCCAATCCAGTTCTCTTGGCCTCCTGCCTTCCCTCTGCTTCCCCACCCCCCTCGCGCCCCCGCCGCTTTCTGGTAGGAGGGAGTGAGGGCATGCTGTATTTTCTTGGCAGTTGATCAACAGGGACTTTTGGGGACAGGCAGACCTGGCGGATGTGACTGTCCCCGGTCAGGAGTAGCGGGAAAGCGGGTGGGGGAGGTGGTTTGGGGCTGGTGTCAGGGTAGTGGCAACAGACCAGCTGACCTTTTTGGCAAGCCTCTCTCCACTGACACTGCCTCCACCTTCTCTTGGAGCTTTCTCTGATGAGAGAGAGAGGCTAGAGCTCAACACATTCTTAGCCTTGCTGGTGGAGCGACTGGAGCTGGAGACTAATTGTAAGCAGACTTCAGGAACTCTGGTCTCGGGAAGGCCCTCAAAAGCAGATTAAGCTCCCACACCAACCTGATAAGCAAGCGCCTTGCTGCTGCACTTGCTAAACATTTTTGGAAGCTGACAGGTTTGAGTGATGGCGTGTGGGAGGAAGGCAAGATTTCCTGCAAAGCTCCCTGGGCTTGTCTCTTCAAGGGCTGTGTGCTGTGCTCTCTTTTTAGGGAGTAAACCACAGGACTTGTCCAGTGGGCTCGGAAATGGGCATGGGCCCAGTGCTCTACTGCATGGGGTTTCCCCTTCATCCGTGGAGGTGGGACTTCTGAGGTGTGGTGGGTGGTACACTGGAGGCCAGAACTGTGACTCAGGCTGTGACACACTCTCTCCAGCTGATGAGGAGGATTCAAAGAATGAGAGGGAAAGTAGAGGCCAACATTGTTCATATCCAGCAGTTCTGCCCTTTGCCCATTTGACCCTTCAGTTAACAAACATTATCTGAGGATGTGTAGTGGGCATGCTCTGCAAAGGTGATTCATCACCATCTCCCCTGAAAAATATTCTTCAACTCCCTGCCCCTGAAAAGCTGGTATGGTCCTATTCCTTCCTTCACTATTGGCCTAGAATACCCTCAATTGCTGGTCTCTTTCCCTCAGTGGATCTTTGTGCATGCACTGTCCACAGGGAGGGTCTGGCTGGACTGCTGAGAGAGAACATTGGCCACTTCCCAGTCATTTTTGTCTTCCTTTTCTTATCATAAGGGTTCTTGGGGGATATTTCCAGTGGTGGGAGGCCCCGACTCCTGTTCCTCTTACATTTCCATCCTCATGAACTTTGCCAGAAGGAGACTTCTTTGGACAACCTACACATTGACTTAATATGGTATCCACCCTGCCTTCAGGGAAGTCTCTGAATCTCAGCTTTAGGATAGGTAGGACTGATGGTCCTTTGACTCCAAAGTGGGTTATATCATTGGAGGGTATTCAGGAAATGATGAGCTAAATGGCAATAATGCCTCAGGACTCCCATCTCTCCTTTCATTCTGTGACTTTTGGGCAGGAGGCTGGTTATTAAACAGCATGAGCTTTAAAGTCAGATGAGTGCTGGTAGTGAGGTGTCTGCTATGTGCTAGCTGGGTGGGTGAGTTGATTAACTTATCTGCTGCTCAGTGTTCCCATCTAAGCAAGATAAGCATAAACAACCACAGGAATGAGGAGGATTGAGAAAAAGAATATAAATGAAGTATTGTGCACAGTATCTGGCAAATGAGGAACACTGTTGCTGTTGTTGTGTACCATAGAGTGAGAACAGGACTCAGAGCTGACCCTCCAGCAGGTTTCAGAGGCAATAAATCATAGGGGACGAGATTGCCTGTGTTTCTCCCTCAGAGCAATTAGTGGATTCAAACTGCTTACCTTTGGGTTGACAGCACAGCTCCTTACTAGCTCCCTAAAGCAGTAATAAAATTAATTATGCGTGTTGCTAACCCCAAAACAAGAGCATGTTGAACCTAGGTCGAAGAGTCTCCAAGTAAGAAAATATATGGGCTGTGTTCTCTGCTTAAGAGATCATCAGTTGGTATCCAAGGATTTATAGAACGTCTATCATGTGCTCAGTGACAGCCACATTGGAAGGATAAGGTCTAGTTGCTGAATGCCTGATAAGCTATGCTTTTAGCATACAATCACATTTTATACTTAGCCCATGAAACAGGGTACCACATTTATATCTGAAAACAACAATAACAATCATGGCAAATACATACCTCTTCTATGGGGTCATGATTTCTCTTAAGGATGTCATTTTGTCCTTGCAACAACCCAAGGAGATCAGTGCTGATCCTCATTTTATAGATGAGGATACTGAAGCAAAGAGAGGTTTAATAACCCTATTCATGCCCCACAGCCGCCCTAACAAACTATCACATACTAGGTGGTTTGAAATAATGTGGGGGGCTGGAGGGAAGCTGTTATCTTTCTATCAAAAAAAGTGATAGTGTTGAAAGAACAAAGGCATTACAGGCAAAGGAGTGGGTTTGTGTGTTGGCTTGTGGGTAGGCATGAATTCTAACATGAAGTGAGTTGTGAGAGGCTGAGGAAGATGGTATCCATAAAGGACCTAGTTTGATAACAAGCATTTGTGAAATGACAGTGATTATTATTATTAGCTTAGGTTGCCCATATACAATGTGGTAGTTACAGGGAAAAGGAGATTGTTTCTCACGCTTTGTAGAATTATCCACAACTGCCTTTAGCCTATTCACTCCAAGACCTGTTTTGCATCTCCATCAAGTATAAAATGACATAACCCATTACTAATAGCTAATCAGTACAACCCCACTTTCAACCCCCCAAGAGCCTCCTCACCTGGACGCTCTCACAAACCCACAGCTGAATCTTGACCCCCTGTGGATGAAATGGAATGCTGCAGCAGCACACGCACACAAAAAAATTTAAAATAAACAAGAGAGAGAGAAATAAAAGCACAACTCACTGCAGATACACAGGGACCCTCCATCAGGTTTCCAAGGCTGTACATCACATCTTTCTCCTGAGGAGCCTCTGGTGGATTTGAACAGCTAGAGATGCTTGGCTTTTGGATTAGCATCTCAGCCCCCTACCAACTATGCACCTCTCTCTTAAACTCCCTTTCTAGTCATGAGAACCTGAACCTTCCCCTGCAACAAACACACACACACACTGAACATTTAGAGCATCTGCTCTGTTGAGCATATCATATAAATTATGACCATGTGCAAAGATTTGTTTAAGAGACTTGCTCTGTGTGGACTCAGAAATCCTGTCCAGGCGACCTTAAGATAAGGAATGCTTGTGAGCTGAGGTGAAGCACTAGCCTATTTGAAAGAAGCAGTTGCCTTGGGAGGGGAGAAAAAGTATATGATACTTTGCTATTTCCTGTTTTTAGGGGTTGGTGCTTAACTTGCAACTCATTTCTTCTTCAAAAAATTAAACATGATTGAAATCCTTTGTGAGTATGTTAGATGTTCAAAAGAAAGCAAGGACGAGGCCCCAGGGAAGAGTGCAGCTCTGAGGACAACCTGTTGTGACTTTGCCCCCACTGTGTTTTCATTAGAACCCTCGCTCCATCATCAAAGTTGATTATGGATTTGATTAGTGCATTTTTCTCCTATTGTGTTATTCCCTTTCTTCTTTCCCTCTGTTCTTGGAGGGGAATGTGCAGCGTGGTTATCTGCCAACATGCAGGAATGTTTATAGTTCACATATTATTGCTTATTCTATGGGTTAATTTTCTGAAGACACTTGAAGAGTGGTACCTGTGACTTATTTAGGGTATCATTACGTGTGTGTGTACATGTATATAAATATATCTACTTCTGGTAACGTGTCTATGCTTAGCTATATACACACACACGTACAAATATATAGATATGAAATAGCTTAATGAAGACATGTAAGCACACATGTCAGAGACAAGCTGGGAGATTATGGCCCAATAGCTAACTTGTTTTTTTAATTGAGATTTTGCTTTAAGGTTATAAAGAATTTGGATTTCCATTCATTCATTGTTGCACATTTTCCTCCCTGCCTCCCTCCCCCGAGTTTGTTTTTCTTTAGGAAAAAAGTTCTTTCATTTTTATTATCCACCCCCACCCCCAGACCAATTTACTATGTAACTCTTATTCTGGCCTCTTGTCACACTAATAATACCTAATCATGTATTCCTTTTATACAGTTCTCTCCCTTGTCCATTTCAATGCCATGTACATTTTTTATCCCCTCTTTCCTTAGTTTTCCCCAACCCCACTGTCAGTCCTGTTTTATAACAGTGGCATTATACAGTATTTGTC